TCACACCAATCTGGGCAGGAGAGTGGAGCTTCTGGAGGGTAGGAAGGTTCTAGAGGGATCTGGACAGGCTGGATCGATGGGCTGAGGTCAGCTGTATGAGGTTGAACGAGGCCAAGTGCTGGGTCCTGCCCTTGGGTCACAACAACCCCACACGATGCTACAGACTTGAGGAAGCAGCAGGGTCACCATCCTTGGAGGGGTTTAAAAGCCGTGTAGATGTGATGCTGAGGGACGTGGTCAAGTGGTGAACCGGCAGCCCTGCATTAATGGCTGGACTCAATGATCTTAAAGGTCTTTCCCAATCCAAATGTCTCTCCGCAGACCTCAACGAGTGCGAGGTGTACAAGCGGGAGGGGGGTCCCCGGCTGTGCGCCCATGCCTGCGTCAATCTCCCTGGCTCCTACCGCTGTGCCTGCCCTGCTGGCTACGTCCTCCTGGGCGACGGCAAGAGCTGCGAAGGTGAGGCGGGAGAAGGGTCTGGAAACCTTTTTAACTTCTGCCCCCCCTCCCCTTTTTTATTCTTGTTTGCAAGGATTTTCTCATGCAAAAAAATCTGATGGGTTTGCAGAGAGAAGCTGGAGGCAGAAGGTGAGGGGAAACGATGGAGGCAAACATATCACTGAAAAAGAGTGCGGGAGCCTTGCTGCCATGGTGGAGGTGTCCTGCATGAAGGACGTCCCAGAGAAAAAAATACATAGAGCATCAAAAAAAGGAAGAATTAGAGGGCGAGGGGTCAGCTCAGAGGCGGGTGGGGTGTGGGTGGAGGGCAAAGCAAATGGATAGCCAGAACTGCTGCTGTGAAAATCTCCCCTGGATTTTTTTTTTTTGCGCTGTAAGGTGGTGATTAGTGCAGTTCTTGGTGAGAAAAATCATGCATTCACCTTTTCTCCCCCATTCCTGTGTTTTTGATAGCATATTGCTAATGCCCTGAGCAAATCTCCAGCATCCAAAGCTCCCGGGTTTATATCTTAAAGGTTACTTCAGTGTTTAGCAAACAAAAAGAGATGGTGTTTCCAAACAACTTAAGGAAAGTTTAGAAAATAAGCTGACCTCCTGCTGTGAGAACACAGCCGTTAACTCCTGCTGGCCCAGGGCAGGGTGATTTAGATGTTTCCAGCCACCTTCCCAAACTTTTTTGATTGTATTGGACGATTGACCTGTTTCAAGGTGCTTTTGCCTTTTTTTCTGCCCAAAGGAACCTCAGGGTGGGCTCGTTTGGGGTCTCATCGAGCATGACCCTTCTTGTTTTGCAGACATCGACGAGTGCGCCCTGTCACAGGATAACTGCACAAGGGGGACCACCTGCATCAACACCGGGGGGGGCTTCCAGTGCGTGAGCCCCCAGTGCCCCCCACCCGCTGGCAACGTCACCTATGTCAAAACATCCCCCTTGTAAGTGTATCCAGGTGCAAAACCTGCCCCTACTAGATTTTTTTTTTTTTTAGAGGGGGATGCTGGCTCCCAAAACCACCGTGGCGGGCGGGACTCGGAGCCTGCGTGGCTGAAAACCTCCCCGTTTTTTCCCTTCGCAGCCAGTGTGAGCGCAACCCATGCCCGATGGAGAGTCGGTCTTGCCACCAAGCGCCAAAAAGCATCTCCTTCCACTACCTTCCCCTGCCTTCCAACCTGCTGACGCCCACCCCGCTCTTTCGCATGGCCACGGCAGCGGCGCCGGGCCGGCCGGGACCCGACAGCCTCCGTTTCGGCATTGTGGGGGGCAACAACCGTGGGCATTTCGTGATGCAGCGTTCTGACCGGCAAACCGGAGAGCTCATCCTCGTTCAGAGCCTCAAGGGTCCCCAAACCATACAAGTGGATGTGGACATGTCCGAATACCTGGATCGTGTCTTCCAGGCCAAGCATGTGTCCAAAATCACCGTTTTCGTTTCTGCCTACGAGTTTTAGGGGAGGCAGCAGTTGGGTGATGGTCCCTGCTTGATACGGCGCGAAGCTGCTCTGCATCCGACCATCCTCCCCTCTGCATTAAGGTTATTCTGCCCAGGAAGCTTTTACACCCTGGGGAGAAAAAAAAAAGAAAAAAAAAAAAAGAAAATGAGGTGCAAAAGAAATGATGTGCAGGGCTTACGCACTTGCTGGGGAGTGGGAGCATCGTCCTCACCCAGAAGATGATGTCCCACAGCCTTGGCGCAGAAGACAGTGAATAGAAACCATGGTCCTTGTTTCCTTTTTAATTCTGGGGCTTTTTTAAATAACTTTTTTTAAGGAAATAAGTTAAGCTGGTGCATGCAGGAGGAGGGAGGTTCATAGAGGTTGCCGCTCTCCTCCCCGCTGGCTCGGGTTTTTGCTTGCACCAACCCCAGCCTCCTAAAAACTCCCCTTCGAATGCTGAGAAAATCCCCAGCAGCCCATGGGGAGGGGGTGTCCTCTGGTGCCTTGGTCCCTCAGGATTGATTAAGACCAGAAAAATCCCCAAAAATGCATCCCTGCGACAGCTGGTCGGCTCTGGGCACCCTTCCTGGCCAGCAGGACATCGCTTTGGCTGCGCTGAGGGAGCTTGAGGTGTGAATATTTTGGGGTTTTTTTTGATCAACCTCGTACCCATTGCTTGATGCATCACTTCACATGTTAATCACACACACACCCTGCCCCCCACCCCCGACATTATTGCATGTTTCTCCGTTACGCTGATTTTAGTACAATTAAAGGACGATGTAAGGCTCTGAGCAGAATAAAGTACCCGGCACACAGCAGGGGCGATATGCTCACCCAGGGGGTGCTTCAGAGTCCTCCAGGTGAGAACCTGTCTCCCTTATTTTTATTTTTCTGCCTTCTGTTGCTTGGAAGAGGATGGCTGGTAGAAGGGTGGCTCATCCCTGAGCATCCTTCCACCCTGACCATCTTCCAGAGACCTCAAGGAAGAGGAGTCTGCTGCCCTCCCCCCAGAAAAACAGGCAGTGGGGCAGAGTCCCCGTGGAGGGGGCTGAGCAGCACCCACTAAAATCCTTCCCACCTCATGCAATGGGGGAACAGACTTTATGAGGCCCATCTGTGCTGCAGGTTTTGGTGGATGGAGCTCTCAGATTTTAAAATTTTTTTTTGGAGGGGGGTGTTACAGCTTCTCTGTGGGAGCTCGGGAGGGGAGGTAGGACCTCTTGCCACCAAACAAGGAGGGACATTCAGCACCGTCTCCTCGCAATTGCAGGACGAAGGATGTTTGGGTTGGCAGGCGCCGGGGCCAGGCCGGGAAACACATCCCAGGAGGGAAATGAAAACCTGACAGGCTCGCTCCTCTCTCTTAAAAAAAAAAATCCAAAACCCTCAAAAAACCACCCAAATAACAACAATTTTTATCTTTTTTCTGAAAGCATAGCTGTTTTCAAAGCCTGAGGGGTGGTGGAGCTGCAGGAGGACTATGAGGGGAGGAGATTTTTTTGATTTTTGGAACCACCTCGCCCCGTGCCTGCATCCCAGGATGCAGCAAAGGTTTTTCCTCAGAGCTCCCCGGCCAAGCAGCAGTGTTCTGTCCAGGAAAGGGAGCACTTAGCCTCGTGAACCCGGCCCGGCGTGTGGTTTAAATTAACGCCTTTGCTAAGAGAGCAGCACTGCGGAGGCAGCCGGCTGCGTCCTTGGACGCCACTGAAGAAGACAGGGAAAAGGAGCTCAGCTGAAACAAGAAGAAATTTTATTTTTTTTTTCCACCATCTCTCCTGGCTGCGGATCATAGAATCTCGCTTTCAGCCCCAGAAACGTTTAAGGTCAGCTCTGCAGTGCCTAGACTGGGCTGCAAACCTCTGGCTGGCATTTGAGCTGACTAAAGGAGATTTTTTTTTTTTTTTTTTTTTTTAATACCCAGAGTGGCCGCTCCAGCATCTTACAGTCTCCCCAAAGCTGGAATGTGCAGAGAAAGTCTCTTCTGGCCCTGGTGAATACAACTTCTCTTTAGGATAATAATATTTTGGAGCTCAAAAAATAGCTGGTTTGTCTCTCCTCCCCTTCTGCTGGCTCCAGAGCCGCTCTGTGTGCCCTGGGGAGGGCTTGTCTGCCCTGCCAGAGCCCCAAAGTTGCAGTTTCTCAACCCAAAAAGGCTGTAGTCCTGGCACCAAGCTGGCCTCAGTGAGGTGCCGGGAGACAAATATCACACCTTTGAATTTCCAAATGATAATTCTCTCTTTAACAAGCAAGAGAACACCAGCTTATTTTCAACGGTGGGTTAAAAATGTGAATTTTTATTACCTTTTTGTGCACACGCACATGAAAACACTTATTAATCCCATTACGGGCTTTAACGAAGAGCCGAACCATGACTTTTTTTATTTGTTATGGTTGCTAGGGATGTTGCTATGGTCTACACAGATCCTAGTGGGATACCCAAGGAACGCATCCTGGGGAACATGTTTAGCTGCTACTGCCAAATTGAGTTAGATTTTGGGATTAAAAAAAAAAAAGCCATTCAAGAGCTTCTCAGAAGCCTGTCTTTTTCCCTGACAACACAAACCCTGCTATTTGAACAAATGGCTGCTCCTGCCGACAGGTTTTTGTTTAAAACAGGATTTTTGCACCTGCAAGGAAAGGGAGAGATAGGTTTTCGTCCTGAATTTTAAATCCTTTTTAAAAATTTTTTTATTTTTTTCACTCCATTGCCTAAGGAGATGGAGCTGAGCCCTGTGGGCATTGACTCCTGGGATGCTGATGGGACTAATTAGCCTTAATTAATGGCCCCTCCCCAGCTCCACCCAAGGTCACCACTCACATCCTTCCCACAGTTTCAGTCCCAGGGTGCTGGGCTGCAACTTGGGGGGTTTCCTGACTTCGTTTTGGATTTGTGTGGTTATCCAAATGGGAACTGATGTAGGTGTTCTCTTTTTTTTTTTTTAAAATATATTTTTCTAGGATTGCTGGCACTGGAAAAAGAGTGACATGTCCCTGCGAGCCAGGGAGACCAGCCCCTAAAGGAAAATAATGTTGATGTCACTTATCTGAGGATTTTTTTTTCCCAGAGAGCTTTGACAAAGTCCCGCAAAAAACAACATTAGACGCAACTTTGTAAAAAAAGGTCAGAGAAAAACAAACAAGTGTCTCTTGGGGATGATGAAGTGCTGAGAGTCAGCAGGGCAGTGGAAGTAAAAAAGGCAGAAATAAAAAGTCAGTTCTCAGTTCGATCAGGTGAGACATCTCCATCTTCGTCGTAAACAGGCACATAAAAGTTTGCGGAAGGAGCAACCGTGAGGTGATGGTGCTTTATGCGATTTGAGTTGGATGGGGCCTGTCTGGAGGTAAAGGTGCCAAGCTGGGAGAACATGGTACTGCAGAAGAGGATGAAATTCACTGAAAAAAAGAAAAAAAAAGGAAAAAAAAAAAGGGAAAAAGGAAAAAAAGGAAAAAGAAAGAAAAAAAAGGGAAAAAGGGGGAAAAAGAAAAGGAAAAAGAAAAAAAAAACCAAAGAAGATGGTAAGAGCGTTACTTCATTGCCAGAAGGTGGGCGTGATCCATCCGAAGGCACAGGCCAGGCCTGCCTTGGACACTGCACCCGTTTAAATTAAATTGTCAACGTAAACAGTGCAAATTTTGGGGGACATGTTTGTATTTTTTCCCGTTAGATTTTCAGTGATGCTCGCCAGCGTTTTGTCCCACGGCTCTGTGGAAGGATTTCTGAGCGAGCTTTGCAGCTCCTCCTTTCGGGACGCCCCAAAGGCCCGTCAGAGCGGCTGGAGCAGCACCGGCACCTCCTCCCTCACTGCTGCGCATGTTAAGGCCTGCGTCTCCTCTTCAACACTGGTCTTCCCACCCCCCGGCCCCATAAGCCCCTTCTCTAATTAATTACCGTTAATTAACTACCATTATCTCCGGGAAAGCTTGGGAATTCCCCTCCTACAAAATGCTTCCCACCCTTTAACCTCGG